AAAGAGTAGCTGCTCTACAAGGCTTGAGAAATGTCTGAAAGAGCTGAAGGTAAACACGCAAAGCTCTGGCCTGGGCCTGGCTCTGTGAGCTCCAGGCTGCCCCTGGGCTACCAGGTACCTAATGGGATTTTCAGCACCAAGGGGAGCGCCAGCTCCGCGCTCACATAGGAAGGAAACGCTGCTGGCAGGAGTGGTGCCTCAACATGCCCTGGTCACTGGGCTGGGCACCTAACTGGGCAGAAGTGAGTCTCGGCCTGAGCACGTGGCTCTCACAGGTGCTAAGGACTAAAGCAACATCCCCATTCCTCACACCTGGAAGCCACCAGACAGTCCTGTTGGCCACTGCCACAGAAGATGAAACCAGTTTGTTTCACTGGCACCAAAATGAGGTTCATGGGCTTTTTGTTGAGGTCCACATTCGAGGAACAGCGGTAAGAAAGACATCTTGGTTCTTTAATTCTCGACATCATCTTCTCTTAGGACTTCCCATCCTTCCAACATCTTTGACAAATGCTTTTTAAAAATGGGGTAAAACATATATAACATAAAACCTGCCATTGAAACGTTTTCTTTCTTTGTTTTTCTTTTTTTTGAGATAGGTTTTGCTCTGTTGCCCAGATTGTAGTGCAGTGGTATGACCATAGCTCACTGCAGCCTCAGCCTCCTGGGCTCGAGCGATCCTCCCACGTAGCTGGCACTACAGGTGTGCATCATCACACCTGGCTAATTTTTTAAATCATAACTTTGTAGAGACGATGTCTTGCTATGTGGCTCAGGCTGGTCTCAAACACCTGGCTTCAAGCGATCCTCCCAGTTTGGCCTCCCAAAGTGCTGGGATGACATGCGTGAACCACCATGCCCAGGCTAAAGTATTTTTAAGTGTGCAACTCAGTAGCATTTAGTACATTCACTGTGCAGTGATCACTGCTATTTCCAAACCCTTACATAGCCTCAAATAGAAACTCTGCATGCCACTAAGCAATAACTTCCCATTCCTCCCTCCCAGCAGCCTGTTTTTAGTTTTTAGTTTTATTGGTCTCTGTAAATTTGCCTGTTCTAGACATGTCATATAAGTGGAATCACACACACTTCATCTTTTTGTGTCTGGGCTTCTTTCACTTAGCATA